CCTTCTTTAACTTTGAACGTTGGACATTCTCCCCTTGTATGTATTGACTTTCAAAATGCCTATTTCTCTTTCTCTCTCTCACACACACACACATATATATACTAGTTTTTCTGCACGTGCGATACACGTGTATTTTATATCATATTTTTACAAAATATATACTAAAATTAATTAATACTTACATAATTGAAAAATATTTTATTTTATCATAAATTACATATTTAAATAAGCAAAAAGCTAGCATTACTTTGTAACTTTAAGACCTTTTTTATAAATAAAATAAAAAAGCACACTCTCCTACCAACACGATCTCGATTTTTCTAGGCATAACGTTACCAATTAAGTTTTGGTATAGTTTCTTGAGTTTGATTGCTTCAATAGACGACGTAAAAAGCATGATTTCTTGATCGATTTTTTCCCTAATATTCTCCAGCCATAACATAATCAATTGCGCTTTTGGCATAATTGTCTTCTCAAGGTTGATTGTTCTTTTTTAATAAAATTCAAGCCTCGCATTTTTATGTGAATGTACATGTTATGCACAAAATTAAGCTTCATAATATAAACCTACAAATAATTCTTACATTTATTCATCAATAAGTATTAAGAGCTCAAATCTACAAAATGGATCATTTTTTATCCACTGAATGAAAATTAGATAATTAAGTATGATAAAATTAAGAAAAAAGGGTCATATATCTCCTGTACTTTTATATAATTCTGATTTCTTATTATTATAATTTTTAAAAGAATTTAGAGCTTGATGTCTTCATTGAGTCGCCAGCTAATTCGTCACATTAGTATATCAGAACAAGGAGCTCTCCTTCTCTCCCTATTTAACTAAATAGGATTTAGATAAAAGCAACATGACTTTACATAAAAATATTTATAAGATGTGAAAATAAATTTAAATGGGATTAGATAGAGGAAGCTTCGGAGGAATTGACACATTAATCAAAACGATGATTGCTTTGTCCCTCTACTTTCCTAAAATGATTCGGGTATAGTAAAAATATATTACTACTATTTAAGAAGTGTATAGTATTTATGTAACTTGAAGAATGCAACAAACTAATTAAAAGCAGTAGAATGGGGACTAATATAACTGTTGGTAAGTACATATGTAGTTTCATCTTTCTTAAATATATATAGAATTTTGTCTGCAAGAGCAAGAAGAAAATAATAGCAGAGTTATAAGTCATATGGCAATATCTTTCGTCGTTAATCCATATTCTAAAGCTATTTATGTTACAAAAGATTTTACTATAAATTTTTTCTAGACTTCATTAGAGTTATCTTATAGTCTTATTTCATAGGAAAAAACTTGTAGAAATATAGCTAAAGAAGAAATAGTCACATGTCAACGATCTATCGGCCATCGCCCATGTACTCACACTAAACCATAAATATTCTATATATTTGTAATTTTTTCAATTTTTTTTGTCCATCCAATGTCACTTGGCTTTATTTTTTAACTGCATATATAATAATTTGAAACACAATTTGGTAAATTTCTGTAATATGCTAGTATTATATGAAGAATATGCACACAAATTCAAATTCATAATACAGGATTATTAATACTAATTAGGAGGAATTATGCCTCTTATATGTCCGATTTAATATTTTAAGTATTCAACAATAAATACGTGGACTTTGAGGGAAAACCTTCTTCTTCTCTACTTTGTATTTAATTTGCAACAACATATGTATTTAACTATAGACAACAGATTTCACAATCAAGTTTGAGAAATCAATGTAACCCTATCTTTTCATATACACGTTCAAGAGAGAGAAAGTATTACGAAAATGTCTTGCAAAGGGAAAATAGAAAGTCAGAAAATATAAAAAGAATTACTACTACTTATACTTAATTAGGTGAAAACTCGACACTGAAAAAGAACATGTGGAAAATCAAAAACGACAAATCAATTGAATTGGCATTTTAAAAGCATGAACTTTATGATAAAGGACACAAAAATTCCGAGAGTACAACTCAAACAAACGCTAAATAAGAAAAATCACTAATTGTCTTACGATCATCTCCAAGTTTTAAATGTACCATTATCACTTTACAAGTGAAAAAAATTTCTACCAAAATGAGACATTCAACATAAAATATCTTAAATGAAGTCATACCACATAACGAAGCATTGTATAGATCATAACTAATATTATTAAGCTAATAAACATGACTACCAACTATATCTCTTAAATGCTGGAATAACAAAAAAAAAAAAAAAAAAAAAAAAAAAAAAAAAAAAAAAAAAAAAAAAAAAAAAAAAAAAAAGAGCAAATAACGGACCAGAATTAAGTGCGCGACAACAGTGGCTCGCCGGGTATAATTCCATAACGCTCTCTTTTGCGAATCCTTTTTCCAAAACCACATCCCTTGAAATATTTATCGCACTTGCACCTTGCAGTGAAACCTGGTAGAAACGACAAACAAAGTCAACTAAATTCTTAAACTTGCATCCGAAATCATGCATAAAAATGATTAGTTTGACAAATTTTGCCCAAACGACAATCAAATGTAACTCCAATTTAACTTAGAAAAGAAAATAACAAATAATTAAAATAATATGATGATTATGCGGAATGTGGAAGTATATGCGTATAGAAGAACTTGGTGTTTTCGCGGTTCGCTCATGGTTGATTAAGCCATTAAGGTTATATAAGAGATGTGATTTGAGGGTAATGCGGATGACAATTGGGTAATTAGGAGTTGTTTGTAGGTGTTAGGTTTTGTTTTAAGAGTTTTTAGCAACAAAAAAAAAAAAAGTTTTCTTTTAAGAGTTGTGACTATTGATGTGAAGAATTTAAAGTGTTAAAACTTAGAAACATATTTCTTCTGAATAGGTGCCTGATGGAAGGTTGCGTTTTGTAGGCTTTAATTTTTTATTTATATTTTTAAAAACTATTATAGGTTAATTAAAGGATACTTTGGTAATTTAATTTTTGGCTTAAGGGCTTCCCACTTTTAATATAGTATAGATAGATAGATAGATAGATATATTGGAGAGGTGAGGGGTGGAGGGTGGGGGATGGAATCAAAATACATATCATCATGCTCACTTTCATAAGCTAGAAATTACATTGTTGAAATTTTAACGAGTTATTTTATATATTCTGCTTGTGTGTTCTCTTTCTATTTGAATTACTCCATGTCAATTGTTAGGTAATGCTTATTAATATATAAAATACAAAATTTGATGGCATTTTAGCATTTACTATGAATTTTCCCTTTTTCCCCTTCTCTTAATAAGCTGGTAGTAATTAATACTCCTCTTTCAACGCAAATGAAATTTTTTGGCAACTTTTAGTTAAACGAAACAAATTACTTGAGCGGCACACATACATGCTACCTAAGAGTTAAGATGCAAGTAATCTTGATGATCAGTTTTGCCACTATAATATAGAGGTAAACAATTAATGCGGTGAAATGTCGCCTCTTGATCTTAATTCGGAACAAAGTCCAAAAGTTTGTCTCTTGTTTCATTGTTACTGAAAAGTGTTATTTGGCAGCATGTTACATTTGCTGAGTTGCAGGAGTCACCCCTCTATGTTCCTCTTCACAGCTATGAAGGTCCGGTTATTTTATCTTTACACGTACAGTCGTTTTAAGTCACGTTGCTATATATGAAGAGTATTTATTGGTAATGACAATTGACAGGGAAAGAAGAAAAAGAAGTAATATGTGTAGAGTACGGAGCATCTCCATCAGAACAGGTTGGGCAGGCCTCGGGATGCCTTCCATCAATTTTAGAACCTCCAAAGTATAGTTTCAGTAGGTGGACCATATTGGATTATTCAACAGCTTATAACTCCAAACTAATTACACCTCGCAAGGTATTGTCCCTAACCACACGTCTTGCACTTTTCATGATATTACCGCCACAAACTTTTTTCTTTTTTGGTAGTTAAATGATTTTATTTACCAAACCAAAGTATATCACTACAAGAAATTACGTTTTCAGTGACGAGCGACGCTTCCTGTTGCCACAAAAGTACTGGGATGAAAGCTGACTGGCTTGGCCCAATAATATCCTCTAGAGCTCCTTTTATCCTCTCAGAGATGATCTTAGATATTATCTTGTAGATAGTAGAATAGCATGCAATAGGTCTAAACTCTCTAATAGACTCTGGTTGAGCTTTCTTAGGGACTAAGGTAACCACAATGTTATTTGCTGCTTTTAGCATCATGTTGTATTTGAAGAACTCTTGTACAGCTTGGTAGACATCACTTTGGACTATAATCCATGTTCTTTTAAAGAATGCAACATTAAATCCATCTGTGCCTGGTGCTTTATTATCATCTATCTCAAATAAAGCAGCTTTGATCTCCTCCCCAATTACTTCTGAGCATATAATTCTTTGTTGTGCAACAGATACACTTGGTCCCTCCCTCATAATTTGCAGATCAATAGAATCTGATGACCCCAGCAACTCTTTCTAATTCTATCTCCTGTTGTGAACGTAGTGTTTGGCTTGAGTCTGTCTTCTGAATAAATATATGAATTGTGCTAGCTCTAGAATTCATACAATTGAAAAAGTAAATGCTATTTCCATACCCTTCCTTAATCCAATGTGCTTTGGACTTCTGCCTATGTACTTTCTCTCGTAATGCTAACCATTTGTTCAGCTCCTTCCAGCTTCTTTTTCCTCTAGTATTAATGTTGGGTCATGTTTATTGGTTAGATGAATCTGGATATTTTGGAGATGTTCTCTTGCCATAGCAATTCTCCTGTCCATGATGCCAAAGTTGGATTCCTTCATTTTCTTCAGGGATTCCTTGCAATTTTTAAGTTTTTGCCACACCTTATACATACATGTTTCCTAACCCTCCTGTCTCCAGTCATGTGCTACTACCTGCAAGAACCATTCAGCGAGTACATTCAGAAACCTAAAAGGCTTCCTTCTAATATCTGTATTCAATGCACATTCTAGATGGATTGACGCATGATCTTAAAAGTGGTTCTCCAAAAACTGCGTTGTGATGTTACCATACTGTATCACCCATTTATCACTACATAGTACCCTATCAATCTTGCTCTATACATTTCTGTTGGTCCAAGTAAGGAACCTTCCGGTTGATTTCATGTCTGTAAGGCATAAAGCAACACAAGTGGCTCGAAAGTCTTGAACCTCATGGTCAGCAACTGATTGGCCCCCCACTCTATCTTCATAATTCAATTCAGAGGAGAGTTGAACCCCCCCCACACACACACACACCAAGGGGTATCAATAGCACAACCCATATTTGCATCAGAACCCTCCACAGAGCTTTCCTCTCCTCACTATCATTACTGCCATTAACCACAGTCAGGGCATTTTGAAATTGAGAGAGTCTATCTCTGATATAGCAATGGATAAATTGAGCATGAGACTCTTTAATAGTAACAGAAACATCTTCTCCCTTCAATAGAAGTCAAATTTTTCCATTTGGTGCTTGAGAATAGTTATTAGTAGTTTGCTACCTCTAACTATTAAAGATATACTAGTAGCAAATTTAGGTTCTTTCACTTTTGTTTCTAACAGTCCCCCAAGCTTATTTTATTATTTCTCAAATAGTTCCCCATTTACCTCTGTTTGAAGGGCTTGTTCATGCCCCTCACATTCCAATATTCCAAATCATGCAGATATGGGTTTGGTTCTCCCATCTAGAGGCTTGCCTGATATAGTATCACCCAAAATTTTCATTATAAAAGGGTAGAATAAATTTTGAGTAGTGATTGGTCTAGAAATAGTTATTAAAAGAGGTTTTCCATGCTGGAAAAGGGCTGCATTTGGCATTCTTCCCTGTATAGCAGTGCTAGTTTGAGGAGAGTCACGTATAACATGTTCTGGAGTCCTAACAATAGGAGCTGCAGTGTTCCTTCTGCTAGCATCATTTTTCTCCTTTTCAACCTTCTCGGACACCTGAGCCTGTTCATATGTACCTTATTATTTCCTTTATCATCAGGACCAATTCGCACATTGGTTTGAGCTTTGCCTACCCATTGCAAGTTGACCTTCTTATCACCCTTAAGACCTTCCTTTCCTGGATGGACCCTTTTTTGGTATGTACATCTACCTGAGTTTGCTTCACTTGACGTTCAACTTTGCATTCATGACAAAGGGATAAACATTTTTGGCAGAATAGTGGTTTCCAGTCGTAGCTCACATACTAAGTGAAAGCTTTACTAGATCAACAACCTCAACTTCATTAGGTAATTCCTTAATTACATCCCTTTCTACCAAGACTCAAGCATAGGACGCCCTATTTTGCTTCTCAGTACATTCATCCGCAAATAGGTCTTCCCAATAGGCTAGCAATCTTATTGAGAGTGATTGCATTCCAACAACTTAGGGGGAGATTAGGAAATTCACCCACAATGGCATGGTACGTGGGAATTCCTCTTGAAAATAAAAATAAGGAGTCCAATCCTTCAGAATTAAAGGCATGCTATTGATTGTATAAGGTCCAGAGTAAAGGATCTTATCTCTATCATACCTATTATGAAATTTAGCAATGTAAAATCCATCTTCGTGGAAATATAGTTCTGGAGTTGTAACAGAATGCCAAAACCTTGCAATAAAATTACTTATGTAATTATAAGTGGGTGTTTTACCTATGACATGCATCACTAGTTTTGCATACAAGTTTCAAATAGCGATACAAGCCTATTCCAAGTTTCAACATCAAAATCCGAATCCATTAGCTAAGAAGTCAACATATGGTCAAACTTAATAAATTTTTTTCAACTTCCAAAAATACTAGTTTTCGGCAAAAAATGAGTCAAATCAATTTAGGGACCTCTAATTTTCATTTCGTACATACGCTCAAGTCCAAAATCACGATACAGACAAGGTCGTTTTCACAAAATGTTGACCATGGTCAACTCAAGTTATTTTTAAAGCCAAATTTCACATTTTCTTCAAATTTTGCATAAACGCTTTGCAAATAATGACACGGACCACACACGCAAATCAAGAAACATCAAACAAAGCTAACGGAGGTCTCGGAATACGGAATTAAGGGCTAATACTCAAAATGACCTATCGGGTCATCACAACACGTAGCCATCATCAATGATTCAAGCAAGCCCCTCAAACCAAGGCTAGGCAAGATACTTTCCTCAAACAAGCAAAATCAATAATTCAAGAATGCATTTCCTTTCAAATCGGCCTCTAAACGGCTCAAAATTAGTCAAATAACATAACACGATGTCAAAAAATGCTATAGGAAATAACTACGGAGCATAAAGGCTCGATCTTTGATCAATTATACAAAATCACACCAAAAACTTAACTCGGGTCCGCTTCATGGAACCCGACAAAACTCATAAATCCCGACCACCCATTCAAATAGGAGTCCAATATATAAGTTTTATCTAAATTCGATTCCGAATAGGGATTAAGTTCTCAATTATCTCTCCAAAATAAAGCACATAAACTCTAATTTTCCTCTTTTAAATCCATGTTCTAAGTGTACAAATTCATGAATAATTAAGATATAAAATTATATCCAAGTAGAGAATACTTACCCTCAAAGTGGTGATGAAAATCTCCCAAAACATCGCCTCTAACCGAGCTCCAAAACTCCAAGTAATAAAAAAGGAGTAAGCCCTCGAAACAAAAGAGGTCTTCCAGGGATCTCGTAACTGCGGCCTTCAGTGTCATTTCTGCAATGCCGCGTCTTCGGCCAATACCTCACATCTCTGAGCTTCATTAAACAGCCGACCATTCGCACATGCGGAGCTAAACTCCGCTTCTGTGATCCCGCATGTGAGCTCCCTTCCGCTTTTGCGCATCCACTTCTGCGCAACAAACATCGCAGAATCAGTCCTTCAACTTCCTGCTCATGCCCGCATTTGTGCACATCCATCCGCATGTGCAACGTCGCACCTGCTGTCACGATCCCAAATTCTCACCTTATGATGTCGTGATGGTACCTAGTCTCTAAGACTAGGTAAGCCTAACATTCATTGATAGTTTAAAAGAAATAACAAACTAATATAATAAAATAAACTGATAAAGCTCATAATAACTCTAAAACAGAACATTAGTACCCAATCTCCAAAACTGGTGGAACTGAGTCATAAGCTCTATACGAATATACTAAAATCTCTAATACAACAATGTTTGATAACAGGATAAATAGCAGTAAAAGGAATAACAGAAGGTGACTCTGAAGCCTACAAGCATCGAGAAGGCATACCTTAAAGTCTCCGAAAATGATTGAGCGATCACCAGCATCCGGCAGAAGCGGTTGTACCTGGATCTGCACAAACATGTGTAGTAGCATGAGTATACCACAATTGCATTCAATGAGTATCAAGTCTAACCTCGATAAAATAGTGATGAGGGCAGGTCAAGACACCTACTAAAATAAGTAAAACAGAGCAGAGTATAATATAGACTAATAAAGGCAAGAGAGGAAATGAATGATAACAAAGCAATACAATAATATAGACTAACATCAGGATTTAAGGCAATAAAGGCAACATAGTGAACACATGGTATGAGCAATAAGTAATCAAATACGGACAATTACAATTAAGACAAATGAAGAAATAACAAAAATTGCTCAACCATCAAGCCTTTTTAACGTAAAATGTACAATAAGAATCACAAACGAGATACCACACCTCACAATCTCATTTCAAAAGTCACAATCACTATCTTTCCTTATATCGCCGCGTGAGCCTTATATTTAGATAGTTTTTGAAAATAATTTTTCGAATAGCTACACGCGCTTTAGACCCCTTATCTCGCCGCATGGTTTCAAGTAATTCTCTTACTAGCATCACATGCATAAATCCCACCTTATGTCGCTGCATGCACATCAACCCTATCCTTATACCGCCGCATGAGTATCAATATCACAACACAATAACAACTCGCACCACATGTGCCCATATGACACAACTTGCCAAAATTAACAATACCAATATTACTACAACATATAGTTCACGGCTCAACTACAATGTGTACATGAATCTCAATAATAACAAAATGAATTGAGAAATAGTCAACAAGAAAAGATATCTTAACAATCAACAACTTCAACCTCGATATGATAATAGCTTTCATAACTTTAACATCAATAACCCTACAAGAAGATATTCATACAAAATAACAACTTTAAGTAAGAGTAATTCAATAATAAGAGAGGTAACAAGACAATAAGATAGGTAAAAACTTCAACTAAAACATATAAGAACAAAACCTAACAATAAAAGATAGAACAAGTGCTAATAATGTCAAATAAAGCATGTGAGTAAATTCAACAATAAAAGATGTAACATGTTATGACAAATTCAATTAAATACATGGAAGAAGTCTAAAAGTCTAAATTGGTCAAAATACCTATATAGCCTATGTACACACTCGTCACCTTATGTACGCGTCTTCCACATAATACATATAACACAATCAACCCAAATCCTAAGGGGTAGTTTTCCTACACAAAGTTAGACAAGATACTTACCTCAACTAGGCCAAATCAACCCTCGAAAATAATTTTCCCCTAAATTTTGCCTCCACGCGCCTCAAAACTAACCAAAAATGAATTAATATCATCAAAAAAAAAAAAAGCAAGGGAAATCAATTGCGATAGATAAAGCTATGATCTTTATACAATTCTCCAAAAGTCAACAAAAGTCAATCCTGGGGCCGTCCGGTCTAAACTCCGATCCAAGGGTAGATTCCGACTATCCATAACCCACGAGTCTATATATGTATTTTGTTTCCAAATCCGAGTCCAAATCGACTCTCAAAATCCAAATTTTTATTTTTCAAAATTTTGACAAAAATCCCCAAATTTCCTCTTTGATTCCCATAAGTTTGATGTTAAATATAATATATAATCACGAAATATAGTTTAAAATCGATTAGAATCACTTACCCAGTGATTGAAAGATGAAAATCCCCTCTCCAAATCGCCTCCTACCGAGTCTAGAGTTCTAAAATAAGAGAAAATGAGATGAAATCCCGACTTTCCAACCTTTTATTCACTTGCAGATGTCCCAATTGCGACACTAGGTTTCCAATTTCGAGCCCTTGTCATTGCGAAGGAATCCTCACAAATACGGTACCTGACACACCCAGGAGATATCGCAAATGCGACACAAACCTCGTAAATGCAAAGTCTGCTCTCCTGGCAAATGCGACCAATTGGTCACAATTACGACCTACCCAACTTAAGCCTAAGCTTAGCAAATTCGAACCAGGTATCGCAATTGCGATATTTGAGTCCCCCGTCATGTTTGCAATTTCGATTTTGGTGCTCGCAATTGTAACAACTGCAGCACCAGCACACCAACAACCTGTATTTGAGTCCAAACCATTCTGAAACACATTCGAAACTTACCCGAGCCTTCAGGGGTCCAAATCAAACATCCACACAAGTGTAAAAATATCATACGAATTCTCTCGCGCAATCAAAACACAAAAATAACATTTAGAATTGCGAATCGGACATCAAGACGCATGAATTTCAAAAGAAAACTCAAGAACCTCTAGAATTGCAACCAAGCGTCTGAATCCTAACAAACCAACTCCAAATGACACCAAATTTTATAAACACGTTCCAAATAGGAAAACAGACCTATTCCAAGTTCCAAAATCAAATTCCGAACCCTATAGCCACAAAGTCAACATATGGTCAAACTTGAAAAAATTTCTAAACCTCAAATTGCCAAGTTTCGGCAAAATAAGTTAAATCAACCTAAAGACCTTTGAATTGGATTTTGGGCATTAGCCCGAGTCTAAAATTACGATACGAACCTATTGGAGTCATCAAAATGCCGTTTTGTGGTCGTTTTCACAAAAGGCTCCAAATCAACCCGAAACCTTTCCGAAACGAAACTAACCAATCCCGCAAGTTATAAAACTATAAATACACATATATGAAGCATCAAAAGGGGAAACGAGGCTCAAATACATAAAATGACCAGGCGGGTCATTACACTTGCGCACCTAAACCTCGCAAGTGCGACGCACCAGCAGCAAAATTGCTCTTAACACCAAAAAAACCTGAGGTTCCCTAGGATGCAGACCAATCATACCAACAAGTCCCAATATATAATCCAAACTTATTCTAAGGATCATAAAATTACAATAACATTTACAATCACAAATCATGTATCAAAACTCAAGTTGCATAACTCTTTAGTCGAAGAACATCAAAACTTTCAATCAAGCGTCTAATTCATTCCTAACCAACTCGGATTACAATCAAACTTTGCATACATGTTCTAAACTACTAAATGAACCTATTCCAAGTTTCGAAACTAAATCCGAGTCCGATATCATCAACATCAACTTCTGGTCAAACCTATGAACTCTCCAAACCTCAAATTGCAAACTTTCGGCAAAATAGAGCCAAAACGTTCTAGGAGCTTCCAAACCCAAATCCAGACATATGCCTAAGTCCGAAATCACCATACGAACCTATTGAAACCATCAACTCACCAATCCGAGGTCGTCTACTCAAAAGTCAAACCTTGGTCAAATATTACAACTTAAGCTTACCAAAAATAAAATTAAGTGTTCCAATCATTCTCAAACATTTACTAAACCAATCCAAACATGCCCACAATTCATCAAACAACAAACACATATGGAAAGCATTGAATAAGGAAAATGGAGGTCAAATACATAAAACGACCAACCGAATCATTACATTAAAGTAAGCAATCGTTGCATAAAAATCACTTCAATATTAATATTATTTACTTCATAACATGTTTTTCATATTAATCCAGGCATGAAAATTCTGTCGTTATTAAGCACATCATGATAACTAGAAAAAAAGAGGTTTAATTTTTGGGACATGGATAAGATGGTGAATTTTGCGAAAGCTCGAATATTCCTTCCAATGCCCGGTCAACCATGCTTCTTAAATTGATTTTATGGCACTTTACAAATTTTTAATTTATTTTGAATTTTCAACAACACTTAAAAAATCTGAAAATAAAGCTCAAAAGATTTTTAAAACACATAGTCATTTTCTTCATTTCAATATGGAAAGAATTATGTTGAACCATTTCTAATCACAGCTTATATTTATTACTAATTATCAATTCGAGTTGCTTTTTCAGACATATATTAAATTTCTTTAGGACTTTCTTTTATGACTTACAACATATGTCTTTTGACAGGTAATGGAAAGGTTTTTATCAGCGGTTCATCGATCATCTACTTGTTCAATGCAAATGTCATTTTTTATTAATTTTGATGCTGACGATATCTTAAGACAAGCTACTATGTCAACTAATCGATACGAACAAGGTACGATCCGAGTCTTTGGATTTTGATTTTGGCCCATTTTAAACAGTATTTTAATTATAATAATTATTTGATTAAATTGTCCTGTATCACTACTAATAATTGTTGAGATGCTTCTAAGAAACTGTTTAAATCATTCATTTTTATAAGAGACAAATAATAATTGATACCTTGTTATAATCTTAAATGTACACTTATTTTGAATCAAATTTGTTTAGTCAAAGAGAATTATAGAATGGACCAAAGTTGTATATTATACATATGGCTTTCTCGTACATATTTATCAAAGTAATAAACATTATAACAAATCTTTCACTCTAATTATCCCATTTTATGTGTCACAATTTTTTTGTTTGTCCTTCAAATAATTTCAGATTTATTTTTTCACTTTTTTTTTTAATCTTAGCATTCTCATCTTACTCTTAATGATATGTCTTATTGCAACCCAATTAAAGTTCATTCTCTATAGTTGGTTTATATATCAAAAATCTATTTAATTACGGGATTGTATTTTCTTTTTTAGAAAAATATTTCTTAATTGGTTTAATATTGGCGGCACGATTGTTCCCCAGGCGAACCATTATCAGTTTTAGATGGAGTGCCAATTGCAATAAAAGATGAAATTGATTGTATGCCGTATCCCACTACAGGTGAGCAGTCATTTGAGATAATTAAGTAGTACAACATTTGAATTATACATGGTTGGTTGTATTAATAAATTAATGGGTAGGAGGCACAAAGTGGATGCACAAGGTAAGAGGGTGCAAGGATGATGCAGAGTGTGTGAAGCGTTTGAGATCATGTGGTGCAATATTGGTGGGAAAAACAAACATGCATGAGCTTGGTGCTGGAACTAGTGGTATTAATCCTCATCATGGGTAAGATTAATACTTTTATAATTAATTAATTTCAATGATTTTGATTTTGATGGCCGGTTTGTTTATATATAGAACAACTAGAAATCCTTATAATGTTGCAAGGATTGCGGGTGGTTCTTCTAGTGGTTCTGCTGCTGTTGTCGCTGCAGGTTTATGCCCTGCTGCCCTTGGCGTCGATGGAGGAGGTAATCCATCATCACCTTTATCTTTTGAGTTATTCGCCCATTGTTTAACAACCTCATTTTAACCCTAACATGTTTTTCATTACTTGTCTTTTGACATCCTTAATTTCGCATACTGTAACAAATTACTTCTTCTTTATAAGTTTAGGATCTGTCAGAATGCCTGCCGCTCTTTGTGGAGTTGTAGGTTTTAAGCCAAGTTTTGGACGCGTCTCACACTCAGGGTATATTATTGTCTAAATATTCTCACAAGCTTTCTTTATTATGTATTTACTATTTAAAATTTACGGAGTTAATTATTTTAAATTCACGCAACGTAAGATCTATTAACAGATAAAATATTCGATATCTAGAACTCATTCATTCTAGAATATTTTCACAAGTTCACTCGAGTACATCAAATATGAGAAAATGTTATATTATTCATTTATGATATTACCTTCACTTCAATCTTCACAACATTATAAAAACGAAAGGAAAAAAAGGAAAAAGGTCATTCACCTAGCATATTCTGGGGTAAGGAGACCTCATGAATCACAAATTTATATTTTTTCACTCGACATATATTTATATCCAAAATGACGTTAGCAGATCCATAGAATATGTACCATTTGTTTATTATTTTTATTTGATTATTCAGAAAACTTTCAAATTATAAACTTCACCAAACTCTGTCTTATTTTTCAGTATTCTTCCTCTGAATTGGACAGTTGGAATGGTAGGGGTACTGGCTGCTACTGTTGAAGATGCACTTCTAGTGTTAGTATTATTGGCTAAAATGTTAATTTTTAAATTTTTTAAATAATTTGCAAATTAAACCGACTTACAATCTCATAATTTCCAGTTATGCAGCTATCAGTTCCCCCAAATCATCAGATCAATCTGAAACTGCTCAGGTAAGATTTATCTTCTCCTCTCATTACATTTTTTGACATTAGGAATATTTTTATATTAAGCAATTTTAAATCATGAGATTTATAGAAAGATTTTGCGCTTGTGGTCATTTTTTAATTCTTACTTTTAAGTAAAATTAATATTATTTTTTGTTTCCTGTGGTTCAATCTTAAATCAACTACCCCAACCCAATGTTAAGATTATTTTTTTCCTTCTTTTCCTACAAAATTGAATTTAGTTTACTTTTAACCTTAGAAGTGGTTCAACATGAATCAATTTAGAAGTTCGCTAGGAATATAGGGGTATTTGGAAACATGAATCAATTTAGAAGTTCGCTAGGAAAATAAGGGTATTTGGAAACTTTTATATATAACTTCGCCAGCTTCTTCTGTCTCTTTATCCGCTAACTAAGAAGTCTATAAAAGAATTTTGTTCTGCTCCGCATATAATGCTCGATCTCCCAAGTCGCCTTCTTAACCTGTTGACCTATCTACTGAACCTTCACCGATGCAATATTCTTTGAATTCAACTTTCGAACTTGCCTATCCAAAATAGCCACTGGTTCCTCCTCATAAGCAAAGTTCTCATCCAACTGCACCGAACTGAAATCTAGCACATGTGACTAATTTTCTTGATACTTGTGAAACATGAAGACATGAAATACTGGATGAACTCCCAAAAAGTTGGGTGGCAAAGCAAATCTTTAAGCCAACTCACCAAGCCTCTTTAGCACCCTCAAATGGACTAATATACCAAAGACTTGATCACGGCCTACTCCGCACTACTATTGAGTAGCAAGAGAGGGTTGGAGCAGTTTTTACCCGATTTAGGGTTAGGATCGATTTTCTCAGAGAGCTAGAATTTGGAATCGAGTATCTATTTAGTTTAGGATTGCGTATGTGTTCCAAATTACACTTTTAATCATTTTTGGGATTTTCGTTTTACTTCTACTATTATCAACTATAAATGGTAAATGCAACTAGATTAAGCTAATAGTTAAACTAAAAAGGGTTGTTCAAATGGTTTAAAAGGCACCAGAGTAATGACTTTCACCTAGGTGGTTAATTGACAGGTAATTGAATCTAAGACACGATTTATATAATTGGGGAGTATGATATAACCGTTGCACGATATTACCCACTCTACACCTCTCGGTGGTTCGAGTGATTTTGCTCGAATTGACATTCTCAAGACCAATTGGGTATGCACATTTGCACAAGCAACTAGGGTTCAAGTCCGATATTACTCTCTTGAGGTTTAACCCTTTAATTGGGGCTATCAATCTCTTGAGTATGCCCCAATTCCTTGTTGGACCAATTTCAGAGACTTAGGCTCTCTTTCTCAAGAAGAGCCCTAGTCAACTAAACACAAACTAGTGTTTGCAACCACTAATTCAGCAATTAACCATAAAATTGGCCCAAATATCAAACACCCATAGTCAATCTAGCCCTAAAATACAAGACCCATCAATTATCCACACTAGGATTGAGCCACAACCCTAGCTTATGGGTCTAGCTACTCATAATTAAAGAAGAAAAGCAAGAAATAGATGAAGAACAACTCATATTAATTAATCGCTAAGGTAAATAACAAGATTCAATGATGAAAAGTAGATAAAATTACCCAAAATGGCTAAGAAAGTTGAACCCACGAGTGCAGCTACGTTACAAAACTATCTGATACCCTAAAAATGGGAAAAAAGCTATTTATACTAAACTGAAAATTTTGGATAAAAATGCCCCTGCGGGGTTAGTGCGGACCGCACAAAATGGTGTGCGGTCGCACTAGGGCTCTTGACTTCATAATCCAACTCTCTGAACTCAGGCAATGCGGACCGCACAGAATGGACTGCGGTGGCGGAGGCTTCTAGTGCGGTCCACACAAAATAGAATGCAGACCGCATTGACTTGAATCCTTGAAACTGGCACTTCTCTGATCTTGGATTCTGCGGACCGCACTAAATTGAGTGCGACCGCATTGCCTTCAGTGCGGAACGCACAAATCCTAGTGCGGCCGCATTGCCTTTATGTCTTGAAAGTCATGCTCTCTTAACCTCACAGTGCAGACCGCACAGAATATAGTGTGGCCGCACTGGCCTTGCTTTGCCTGAGCTTTGTCTTATCTTGGTATTTGTGCAAGTTTCACTCCTTTTGAGCTGATCTTTGACATCTTGTCAGTTTTTTGATTAAGACTGCAATCAAGCACAACTTGTGAGCCTTTTGTGACTATTTTGTATGAATTTCTAATCAAAGCATAAGCAAGAAGGAGTATAAAATGCGTTAAAATCCCTAGTTATCAACTCCCCCAAACTTAAGCTTTTGCTTGTCCTCGAGCAAACAAAATAAGACCCACCCCTTAAGGGAAACTCTAAGAAGTTTTCAGCTGACTTAAAGTAACCTCATCTAGCATCAATTGGGACTAACAATTGCCCTCAATACAAATGAATCATTAACAACTTTTACTCTTTGAAACACTATGGATTAAGTGCGACACAAGAGCATCAAGAATTGGCTCAACACATCAAAGGACTCTTTCTATTACTTTGATCATTGTGGAACCCAAACTCACACATCCTCAACTCTCCCTAAGCAAACCTCACCTTTAGAATAGTGGCACTCAAAACAAGGTTAATGGAAGTTCACTTATCTCTCTCAAGAAAAAGCCACAAGTCCGGCTCTAGGTATCATATGCCTGCCCCTTATGTGCGTATCCACTAATGTAAGCTTCATTCAACTCAAGATCATATATGGCTTTTGTGGAGATATTGTGAAGGCCTTTGGTTCAGGGTAGGAAATGTTTTGGTCTAAGTAAGTTCCATCTTCCCTTAAGCACTTCTTTTGATTCATTTGGCACACATTCACTTGACTCTTTGAGTCATTTCACTTCTTTCTAAGGGGTTAGAGAGACACACTGTCACTCTTTCTTATGCATTTCAAACCTTTTCTCCTTTTTCAACTTTCCACACCTTTCATTCTTTGCTTTTCTTGAATCCCTTTTTGTTCTTTTTCATATTAAACATTCTATTTGCCATTTTGCTTTTCTTTCTTTTTCATTGCCTTTCCTTTTCTTCATTTTTGTGCCTTTTTACCACTTTATTGCAATATTCGTCTCCCCCCAAACTTATACTTTTGCCATGTGCTAAAGGAAAGATCGAGTGCCAAGAGGGGGTATCTTTTAGAACGGGTATAGGCTTGTATTATTGTTCTTGAAGGAAAAAGGTCTAAGGCTCAAAAGGGTTGACTAGGGATCTTATAATTGGTAGGTTATGGATGTGTTCAACTAGGACCAAGGAGAGCCTATAATCATGTCTCAAGTCAGAATTCACTTAGGATTTCGCCTCAACAAACATCTAGGGCAAGTTCTAGACCAATGGCTCGTGACTTGGACTTGCAATGCGATTACTCACCACACAAGCTATGTGATTGCTAAAGATGCAGAGTCGGGGGCCCACAACGATATTAGATAATATTTGAGCACACAATGGTCCCGAAAAACCACTTGATGATTATTTGATGATTATTGGTCAACACAAAAGTCTCAAGGTCACTACTTTCACCATCCTAAACACAACAATTTGTTTTTGACCATAAGATCAAAGGCAAATGTGCTAGGCCCAAGTGAAGCTTTGCTTGAGGAACCCTTAACTACTAACTACTAAAAACAAAAAGAAAAATAGACTCAAACCCTTAAGAAGATTGTCATGCCATCCATCATGGGGAAGAGCCACCTGGTTCACACAACACTTCACCTTTGGAAAGAACCGTGACATTAAGAAAACCAATGGCTTATTGCAAACTTGAGAAACAAGAAGCTACGAATCACAAATAAGAAGATAAGAACTAAAAATTTGCGGAAAGTAGAATGAATATATATAAAAGGGGATTTGAATATACAATAGATGGTATGAATATGTACAATATAACATAACTTTATATACAGACCCAAAGTAAAATAAAAGTGCGATAAATGTACGAAATGTTAAAATTGTATACAACCCAAGGGTGAAAATTCAAGAAAGCATAAAAAAAGTATCAAATATATATACAATCATCCGAATGAATAAAAAGTAGGGCCTACCCCCTCAAATGTAAGCTGACACTGTCCCCAATGCCAACTAAACGAAATAAAGCATCAAAAAGAGATAGGAAAAAGGATATAGGGACTCCCTATGACCTGTCTATTTGCATAGGCTCCTAAGTTGTCCCAGGGTCCTCACTATGCTCGGGAACCTCAGACTGGTTCCTGGTGGTCTCCTGTTGTGCTGCTGGGACCTGGGCCTAGACCTGGACAGGCTCTTGAAGTGCATTTTGGGGCTGACTGGAGGAAGCCTCCGATGGGTCGGCCAACTGGATGACTGCATCATCCGCTCTAGGAATCACCCTCTTCCTCTTAGGAGGCCTTTGTGACTGCTCTGGCTGGGAATGAGCTGCGGGTACTGGGTCCTAGAGCAGTAAGTCTAAAGGCAGTTGATATGCCTTCAGTTTGTCAACATCATCTCTCAACACCTTCACAGACTCCTTGGATGCCCGTGTCTTTCTCAGCTTCTTGTGCTCCCTAGCAAGCGCCTTGAGAGACTGGCTGCGTGAAGCAACTGAATCTGTGAGCACCTTCTGAATGTCAAGGATTTTCTTCTGGTTGTCTAAAATCTCTTTCAAAGTATCCTCTATCGACTGGGAAACCTGTGGGGCTGGAGGTGCCGACTGAGCCTCTACCGTGGTAGTCAGGATGGACAACTTGGATGAGGCAGTCTGCATCCCGTTGTTGATACTCAGAAGTGCCTGGCTTAGTCGGTGGATAGTAATAGGATGGTCCCGAGAAGATGGAATCTCCAGGTCTGCTGAGGTGGATGGACCAGGAGGGATAGCAGTGGAAGTAGATGCAGGCTTGGCAGGAGTCACTACCACAACTAGCTCTTCAGACTGGCCAGTTGGAGCAGTAACTATACTCTTGAAATTCTTGCTCTTGGGGTTGTTATCCCCCTGCATGCTGTACCAGGAAAAAG